GGTCTGATCCTCGCTCCGGTGATGCCGCTCACACTCGCGCGATGGATTGGAGCCCCCGGTCTGATCCTCGCTCCGGTGATGCCGCTCACACTCGCCCACTCTCGCACGCGCGCCAGACGTGATCGGCAAACCAGTCGTCGTTCGCCTGAACTCAGGGGTGGACTATCACGGCATCTTGACGTGCTTGGATGGGTACATGAACATTGCGCTGGAAGACACGACGGAATGGGTAGAGGGCAGGCAGAGAAATGCTTACGGTGATGCGTTTGTGAGGGGCAACAATGGTGAGTGTGCGCGGGCGGGCGTGCGTGCGTGCGGACGGGCGGACGGGTTGGCCTGAGGGCTGCCATGGCTTGGCATGAGGAGCGTGAGTGTGCCCAAGGGCTCACATGGTGTGGCATCGCATGCGCCCCCCATCCCCCTCCAGTGCTGTACATCACCGCAGCTTGAACGTGCAAACGTACGAGCAGCTCATCAAATCGATAACATCGACGACCTCGCGCTTGTGACTCGCGACTGTGACTGATGAATGTACAAGTCACGTAAATCGATTCGCGATTGGTGATGCGTGATTCACCCACTCGTGAATCTTGAATGTGAATGACCCACCGGGCGCTTAAGCTAGCGCTCCCAGCACAATCAAGCCATCGCCCGCGTTCCCCACCATCGCGTGCGTGCAAGAGGCGCGGATGTATGCGCTGCTGCTATACAAGCTTTTCTGCCTCCACGCAGGCGCGCGCGCGCGCGCAAAACATCTTTCCCGCGCGCGACTTGCCCGCCTCGTCCTCCTTCTCACCCCTCACGCGCAATCTCACCCCTCACGCGCACTCTCACCCCTCACGCGCAATCTCACCCCTCACGCGCAATCTCAACACCCACCCGCTCGCACACACGCACACACGCACACACGCACCACCCCCCCGCGATGCCTTTCGGCCAGCTGGTCGTCGGCTCGCCAGGAGCAGGCAAGACGACGTATTGCGCGGGTGCAAAGGATTTCCTGGCTGCGCTCGGTCGCAAAGCTCACGTGGTCAATCTGGATCCTGCAAACGATGGCGCCAGCAGGTCACCTTACACCGCATCGCTCGACATCAATACGTTGATCAGGGTGCAGGATGTGATGGAGGAGCTGCATCTGGGTCCCAATGGTGCGCTGCTGTACTGCATCGAGTACCTCGAGCAGAACATCCATTGGCTCTTGGATGGCTTGCGCGCCTTGTTGGACCATGATCGCGACGCTTACGTCATCTTTGACATTCCCGGACAAGTGGAGCTGAGCACGAATCATGCGTCGCTTAGAAGCATCATTCAGCAAGTGGAGAGCCAGGCGGGCTACAGGCTGGTGGCGCTGCACCTCGTCGACGCTTCCCACATCACCGACGTTTCGCGCTACATTTCCCTCGTCCTGCTCAGCCTCCGCGCCATGCTCGCTCTCGAGCTGCCTCATATCAATGTGCTATCCAAGATCGACTTGCTGGGGGATGTGGTGGGTGGCGCGCACGTCGAGGATGACGACGAAGACGACGACGACGACGACGACGGAGGCGCACACGATCTCGCATCCTCCTCGATGCCGGGAGCACGCGACGACGGCATGCTCTTCAACCTGTCGTACTACACCCACGCTCAAGACTTGTCCCGCTTGCTAGACGTGGATGCAACGAGCACCTCACCGCGCCACACTCGGCTCAACGAGAGGATCTGCGAACTGGTAGAAGACTTTGGGCTGGTGGGCTTCGAGACGCTGGCAGTGGAGGACAAGCGGAGCATGCTGCGCCTCACTCGCGTTGTTGACAAGGCTGGCGGCTACGTCTTTGCGGGGCAAGGCGGCAGCAGCAGCAGCGCGCCTCAAGAGACGGAGCAGGAGCGATACGAACGATTTCAGCCGGGAAGTCTGTACGCCACCACTGGCATGGTGCCACCTCGCGCAGGTGCGGCGACAGCAGCTGCACTGTTTGGCACAGCGGCTGGTGAGGTCGAGGGATGGGGCGATGCTGGCGATGTGCAGGAGCGATGGCTCGACAATCGCGATGCGTGGGACGAGCATGAGGCGAAGGCAAGCAAAGCGCAGGCAGACGAGGCGCTCGAAAGGAGAGTGTACGCGGCGGCGAACAAAGTCATTCGAGAGGGGGTCACGGCGGCACCAGAGTGACGAGTCCGCGCGCGCGCGGGCGCGTTATGGAGCATGCATGCATTGGCAGGGCAAACGCTTACTAGATGGCTTCAAAAGGCGCGCCGCCTAGATGGCTTCAAAGGCGCGCCGCCTAGATGGCTTCAAAAGGCGCGCCGCCTAGATGGCTTCAAAGGCACACCGAAAATCGTCCACGATATCCCGCAAATCTTCGATGCCGACGCTTACACGCAGCATGTCCTTGCCGATGCCCGCCACCTGGAGTTCCTCGTCGCCAAGGGCTGCGTGGGTGGTGCTGGCTGGATGAATCACCAATGTCCGCGCATCGCCCACGTTTGCCAGGTGCGAAGCCAATTGCAGAGCTTCTGTAAATTTGCCTCCGTCTCCGCGTACGCCCAGCGACAATACCCCTCCAAATCCATTGTGCAGCAACTCCTTGGCCCTCTCGTGCGATTCGTGCGACTCCAAGCCCGGGTAGGATACCCAGGCGCACTTGGGATGCGATTCCAACCATTGCGCCAAAGCCAGCGCGTTATCGACGGTTCTCTGCACCCGCAAAGAGAGGGTCTCGAGACCTTGCAGGCACATGAAAGCGTTGAATGGCGACAGGCAAGCTCCCATGTCTTTTAATATCTCGAATCGGAGACGCATCGCAAAGCTCTTGTTGCCAAAGACTTCCCAGAAGCGTTTGCCGATGAGCGATGCGCCAAGCCAATTTCCACCTCCGTGCGTACCCTCCAACGGCTCCGTCATGGACGGATATCTCTTGCTGGCTCCCCAGTCGAAGCGACCTCCATCGATGACGACACCAGCGATGACGGTACCGTGCCCGCCAATCCACTTGGTCGCGCTCTCGACGACAATATCGACGCCCAAATCGATGGGCTTGCAAAGGTAGCCTCCAGCTCCAAACGTATTGTCGCAGATGGTGACGATGCCGTAGCTCTTTGCCAGTCGCGCAATCGCTGGAATATCGGGAACGTTCCATCGAGGGTTGGAGATGGATTCGATGTACACCGCCTTGGTCTTTTCGTCGATCAGCTTCTCCAGATCGGCAGGCTTGTCCGATGCTGCAAAGCGCGCCTCGATGCCAAAGCGTGACAGCAGCACCTGTTGGGCAAAAAGTTTCAGCGCCCGTTCACGCGCCAGGGCTCGCTACTACGCACCTTGAGCTGATTGTGCGTACCGCCGTATAGGTATGGGGTAGTGACGATGTTGTCGCCCGACTCGCAGATCGTCGAAATCGCCATGAACTGCGCCGACTGGCCGCTCGATGTCGAAACAGCTGCTGAACCACCTTCCAGCATGGCGATCCTCTCTTCAAATACTTCGCAAGTCGGGTTGCCAATCCGTGAGTAGATGTTGGACCCCGCGCCTCCAGATTTGCCAATGTCGAACAGGTCAGCGCCGGAAGCTTGCGTGTCAAAGATGAAGCTGGAGGTGAGGTAGATGGGAACTGCCTTGGCATTGGTCGTCGGATCGCCCCGCCTCTGACCAGCGTGCAGCTGCTGGGTGGAGAAGCCCCATTGCGGATTGTGGGGCTTGATGCCCTTGACGGGAGTTTTGTGAGGAGCCGCCGGAGTCGCGGCGGAGACGTCGTGGCCGTAGCTCTGATCCGAGTGGATAGCTGGTGCCATGGTTGCGTAGAGAAGGCGCAGAGAAGGCGCAGAGAAGGCGTACTTACTGAGGGGCACCGTGCTTGAGCACGATCACGAGCCCTCGCGGCGACCCTTTTAAGAGATCAGCTTTGCGCAACGCAAGCTGACGGCATTTTGCGCCCGTGTCGTCCTCACACCAGAGTCACGAGCACAGCATTCCACTGCCAGTGCAAGGCGAGACCACATCGGATGGCAACCCTCAATCCGACTGTGCGTGATCGGAATCCAGCTGTGCCTATGCTCATTCCAGCTGCGCGTATGCTCAATCCAACTACGCGTGCGTGATCGCATTGCGCAATCCAGCCGCGCGCAATAATATCAAAAGTTTCCCCGCAGAGATCGCCTCGTGTTCGCACGCGTCGAGCTGGTGCGCCTTGCGCGCGCGCCTCGAGGCCAGCAGCTAGCGCGTTTGATCAGCTGCTGCATACGAGATGGAGAAGTTTTGGAATCTTTAGCGCGTCACGTGCGCCGTGCGCCGTGCGCCGAGTCGCAAAATAATCAAGAATGACCGGCCAGTACAGCGACTCGGAGCGAAAGGCCAGTACAGCGACTCGGAGCGAAAGGCAAAACATCTCAATGTCAATTAGCACACACCGCAATCTAGCGACCGCGATGACGCTCTCTCATATACGGGCCGGTAGCCAGCGATCTCTGGTCTCTAACGCTGTCAGCCCCCTATCCTCCCTCCACGGAAACAGCTGCCACCATGGAGTCTCTACCGCAAGCAAGCGCTTCCTTGCCATGGAGCGTGCACAAGATTGGAGGCACCTCCATCGCACGGTATCTCGATCACATCGTCGACAATATCGTCGCGTGAGTATTGTACAAAGCACAGCACAGCGAGCGGAAGCCCGCGCTCACGCCGGCCTCCGCCTCCCCACAGCCCCCGTGCGACTTCGGAGCGCCTCGTGATCGTGTGCAGTGCCAGATCGCTCGCATCCAAAGCAAAAGGCACCACTTCCACGTTGCTCGAAGCGGCGGAAAAGGCCGCCGAGTCGCGTGGCACCTCACAGCGTCGCGCCTCTGACGCACGCGGTCGAGATCAGCGCTGGCGCTTGGACTGCTTTGCGCAGGCAGATCCAGCTCCTTTACGGTCACCTCTGCTCTCACCTCTCCAGAACCCTTCAGGCGTACCGCTGGACCGCGTCACGTCGGCGCTGTTGGACCGCGCTCGAGAGCGCTCCACAAGTGCGAGCACCAGGGCATCCTCGGCGAGCACAAGGACATCCTCGACGCTGTCCTCGATGCGCAATTCCTTGATAGATTTTGCCGACATTCAAGAGAGTCCCCCCAGCAGTCGGGCTTCGGTAGACGAACGATTTGATCCGCGCACAGCAGAGGAATTTGGCTGGCTTTCGGACATCCAAGCACTCCAAGAAGACCACTTTGCCGCCGTGCGCACTCACTGCCAAGATGCGTCGATCGCGGAAAAGTGCCTGTCGGATCTGTCTTGCGATTTCGACGAGCTGTACGCAGTCTTGGCTGCCGTCGAGGTGAATACTTCTCTTGCCAGGAATTCTCCCGCCATCTCCAAGCTGACATTCCTTCTGCCCGCTCGCACCCGCTAGACTCTTGGATTCTTGAGCGCCCAGATGAAGGAACGCATCGTCGCCTTTGGAGAGTTGTGGTCGACGAGAGTGCTGACTGCAGCACTCTGCAGCAAGGTGTGTCTTTTCGCGCACGCCGCGCCCGCGTCTGCTAAATGCCCTTCTGACGCGGTGCGCGTCTTCTTTTAGCACCTCGACGCCTCGGTGGTCAGGCTCGACTCGCTCGCGCTGGACTGGGACACGTGCAGTGCCGACCAGGTCGAAGAGCGCGTCGTCCGGGCGATACGCGATGAGCTCGCGCACAATTCCTCGCGCGTGCTCGTCGTGCCTGGCTACTATGGACCCTTGCCGTACGCCCTGCTCGAAACCGTCGGCCGTGGGTACAGCGATCGGTGCGCTTCCTTGTGTGCCGATGCGCTCAGCGTGTCGTGCATGTTTATTTGGAAAGAGGTGGCTGGAATTCTGCAGGCAAATCCGAACGTGGCTGCCGACGCCAAAGTCATCTCCGCCATCACGAGGAGAGAGGCGCATGAACTGGCAAAGTACGGAAACGAAGTCATCAATGCAGAGGTGAGCTTGACTGTTTTTCTCAGAGTCACTGTATTGTTCACGCGCGTCACCGCCTCCATAGGCCCTCAAGGTCGACAAGAGTGTACGCATCAAGGTGCAGCACGTGCTGTTCCCCGAGGATCCAGGCACTGTCATTGATGGCGTCACTGACGAAGCGGCCCTCTCATCGGGACACGCATCCCGCTTCAGTCTTTCTCTTCTGCCCAACGTTCACTTGATCACTCACGCGCTCGGCTCACCGGCAGCAGTCGCCTTGGCCGCAGAGGTTTCCCGCGGCGACTTTGCAAGGGCTATTGCGACCCAGTCTGATGGAGAAGCAATGACCGTCTGGCTGCAGGCAAATCCCGCAGAGCTCACGAGGCTGACGCAAGCGGCAGCATCCTCGAAAGTCGAGGTGCGTGCGTGCGTGTACGCGAGTGCGTGCGTGTGCGCAGTTGCTCACCCTTGTACCCCCTCCCGCCGCGCAGCTCGTTCGAGATGAAGCAGTAACGCTGCTCGCTCTCACAGGAAGCCGAGACGACGCCACGGCCAAGCTGTGCGTCGCGCTTCCTGCCATACAACCCCCACCATTATCCATCTCGATGTGCGCATTCCCCCTCACCACGCTGTTTGCGGTGCGCTCTTGCAACGCCGAAGAGAATGTGAGGCGAGTGCATGCAGCTCTCGCCAGCGGCGGTTTCTAGGCACGGCGTGAACCTCCTTATAGTCGCAATGCCATGCCATAGCGCAAGGGTGCCTGCATCTTCGCGTCGCGCGTCGCGCGTCGTCAGCCAATGTCCTCAGAGGCGCTGCGTGTCAGGGTCCTGTGCTACGTCGTCAGCGCCTGGGGCACCGACCGCTTCTCCCTTGCTCAGGCAAGCTTGTCACGAATCACTATAGTTGGCCGCTCGCGCGCGCGGGGATCGTACTCGGACCGCGCCTCGCGCCAAGCATGCAATGCAAAAATCTATTCAAATTCGCGTCAAGCATGCGATCCATACATTTGCGAGAATCTACTCTAACGGCACGGCGCCGTCACTGCGCAATCTTGCTCTTCTGTCTCAACTGCTTGCCCTTCCAAATGAGCAAGAGGGACATTGGCAAACCCAAGCAAGCCACGGCTGCGAGGATGACGCTCGCGTTTTGCGCACCCAAGGCGTCGTACATGGGCGTGGTGTAGAGGGGCGATGCGGTGGCCAAGAGGTTGCGAAGCATGACGTTGGCTGCCAGTGCCGATGCCGCCCTGCCTGATGGGGCGTACACATCGATATAGTAGGCGTTCAGAGCGAGCTGCAGCAACACCATTCCTGCACCTACGAGCACTCCAGAGGCCATGGATACGACTGGATGCACGCTCGGGTAGGTCGTGTACGCGAACCAAAAAAGCGCGACAGGCAAGAGGATGGCGGCAATGACCATGCTGGGCAGTCGAGTCTCGGGTGTCGCGTGCCCTTCTTTGGACAGCTTGGCGTACTTTGGTCCGATGATGGCAAAGTACCACACCACGCCAAGCGCATTACCGAGCCACGGTGCCACGAATGCTGTTCCAGACAAACCCAGCGAGAGCGAGTAGATGCGTTCGTATACGAGCGGGTACTGCGTGGATGTGCGTGGGTGTGAGCGGGTGTGAGCGGGTGTGAGCGCGAGTGAGCACGAGTGCGTGCGTGCGCGCGCGCGCTACTCACAATCTCGAGCAGCATGAACAACAAAGAGTATATGAACGCGTGGTAGATGGTCGTCGACAGCAGCATCGGCTCGGTGACCAGCATGACCAGCGGTCTAGCCAGTGTGGAGGTGATTTTGCGCCACAGCGGTCGGTGATCAAATTCGATGGGGGCATACACTTGTCCCTGCGAAGCATCGAGCTTCTCGTTGAGCTGGTGCTCTGCATGCCTCTCGTCAGGCCCGTCTTTCGATGTCTGCAGCTTCGGTCGCAAGCGCGCAGCGAGCTTGCTAACCGCTGGCGTTGCAGTCTCTTCGCTCTTTGCGCCCCTCTCCTGACGCAACCTCTGCGCATTATTGCGGACAATGATGCCGGGCTGCGTCTCGGGAATCAGACAGAGCAGCACGAGGTCAAAGGCTGCAAAGATAGCAATGGCGTAGAGGATCCACCGCCATGATACCGTCTGACCCATCCAATTGGCCCACACTGGGGCGATGGATGGCGCGCCTTGGAGCATCAGCGTGAAAATGGCCACCCAAGGTCTGTGCGGCGGAGGCGTGGGGCTACTGGTGAGGCGACACTCGCGACGCTCATGGCGACACTCAACTCACCCGCGCTCTTCATCTGTAAAGAGGTCACCAAGCGAGCCTCCGCACACGGAAAAGGGCGGACCGGCAAAGAGGCCGCTCACAAACCGAGTGATCAGGAGCGCTGCGGATGGGGCCGAGTGAGCAAGCGCTCCTTCACGCGCGCGGGGCGATACAAGCATCGACGGGACGCACTTTGGATATTCCTTGCACCTCCGCTAGCTGCAGAGAATGCTACGAAACCAGCCATGGAGACGAGATAGACTGGCTTGCGACCAAATGTCTCGCTTAGAGGCGCACCGATGACGGGACCAATCGAGATGCCCAGATTTGCTAGAGAAACGCCCAGCACGGCTACAACCCGTGTGACTTGGAACTCTTCGATGATCTGCTCCGTCCCTCCGCTCTGAGCGGGCGGACATGCGTACAAGAGGTGAGCTGTTGCGAGTCGAGTCAGGTGTCAGTATTGATGCTGCTCACATACGCAGCTGCGGTCATGTCGACGGGTCCAATGCAGAGCCAGATCTGCGAAGCGCATGGTAGCATCAGCCGCGGTCCGACGAGTGCTGCATCCGCGCATCGCACTCACCACGACTGCTATCGCTGCCCGCTTCAAGTAGGGCCAATTGCGGGGATTTGCCCATGGCAAATCGTCGATGCTCAACGTTTGCTCGGACGTGTCGTTTTGCGCTGAATTCTCCAGAGCCTCTGCCTTTGCTCTCGATTTGGCTCCCCGTTCCACCTCGACGTCCTCGCCGGTATCGTTGCACGCTGTTGCTTCGCCATCGCCATCGCTCACACTATGAGGGCTGGAACTCGAAGCACCAGCTTGCGCCTCGTCTGCCGGGATTGTGAGCGGGGCGCTTTCTTTTGTGGTGACCATGATGGACTGTTTGGAAAAGCGGTAGCCAATGTGCTGCTGGCTGATCGTGGTCGAGGGCTGCGTTTGGAAATGACCTTCTTGAAGTCATTCCGCCTCTGCTCTTGCGTGCGCAACAGTCCATCCAACATGCGCTCATCGCCGAATGGGAGATCGAGATGAGTAATGGGGCCACTCCACATGATGTCGAACGTGCCGATGGCGGTTCGTCTTGCGCAATGGGGAAACTCCGACGCACAGCAAAGCGCGACTGTGACTGTCCTCTGACGGACGTGAATTCTTCGCATGCTATACCGTACAATCAAGAATACAAAAGCAGAGCCCCATGCAGTAAGGCACGACACGAGGCCTATATGCACCCAGAACTAGCGTCCACGCCTGTGCATGCATCGCGCAACCTAGCGCGCTTGCGTCATTGTCATTTGCCCTCCGCATCGAGCGGGAGATGAGATGAGCCGTTTGGCGCTGTCAAGCAGTCACGGATGCTGAAAGCAAGAGGGTCAATCAAGATCAAGATTCCTCGACTATTTGCATTCGCACGACTGCGCACCCAACCGTGTGTGCGTCTGTGCACGTTGCCAGGAGCGAGCGACCGTTGGAAAGAGTCACGGAATGGAATCGTGAATTCGATTCGTGATCCGATCCCAACCAGCAGCGAGATCTCTCGGCCAAGTCATGCATGCTGCATGGCGGCGTGATGCACATTCGCGAATTTCCGTCACCGTGCATGCGTTTGGACGTGACTGCGTGTCCACAGCGCATCTCCGGCTGTGACCTCTCTTGATCCTTGCATGACCAGCAAGCAACGATGAGCAGCCGTGTCAGAACCGCTGCGTCAACGAAACCGCCCGAGAGACGAGTTTGAGTCGTGAAACGCCAATGTAGTGAAAACACGAATGCAAACCAGTTTCCCCCGCGCTGCGATGCGAATCACGACATCATGCCCGGGGGGGTCGCCTACACTTTCATCGAGTCTGCTCGACTTGAAACGGCGCTGATTCATTGTGAATGCTCCGCCTCGCGGCCCTTTCCGAGTAGGACCGGCTGGCCGAAGCCCCTCTCCCATTCGCCCGGCTCCCACGCCCACTTGCCGCGTTGCGCGCGTTGCGCCCCTTGTCGCCTTGCAAGACGCGATGGAGCTTGCGTGAGGAGCGACCACATCAGAGCTGTTCGAAACAAGCTTTGGATCGTCCCCTCGCGATCGTCGGAGTTGCAAAGCCGTGATGAGGGCCTCACAGGCATGTACAGTTTAGATGCGCGTGCCAGGTTGACATTCGTATTGTACAGTAGAGACGTGTAAATCGCACCGCAAGCACGAAACACCCAGAAGAAGCTTTCACCCGCCGCTTCGATGCGGTGCAGCGAGCGCGGCTGTGCATGGATCTGCAGCGGCTGTTTCCATTCACACTTGCCTTGCCGTCCGTCGCACAACCCCGCAGGCTTGAAGCAACTGTGCGGAGATATTGCCCACCCAAGGTTCGAGCCACGACCCGTGGAGGAAGGAGCAAGTTCATCAAAGTTCGGCTACCACCCTATCCGCCTTTCCCCTGTTCCTCCGCTTTGCGCCGCGATCGATGCACGGACCTCCAATCCTTTGCTGTGGCTGGTCAGAGGAACGGCCTCTTTTTTTTTTTTTTGTTGAAGCTAGCCATTCAGTCTTTCAAGTGCCTCGACGGTGCTCCCAATCGATGACGCAGTGCGCGAGGACATCAGGACTGCCCGTCGAGCAATTCACGCTTGCCCGACGCGAGGCGAGGCCCGCTATTCCTCCGAAATTCGCGGCACTCCTTGACTCCGTGACTCCGGTTGAAGAAAGGCTTTGCTGGTGCGCTAGCTTGTACGTTTGCCCGAGCAGCAGGGTCGACATGGAGTTTGTGCAGATTCAGCCTTGGTACTCACGTTTAGTATACTGCAAGTCGGGTCACTTGGCAAGCGGCAGCGAGATCGCCAAATCAGGACTGCCCACCCTTTTGTGATGGTCAGTCAGGATGCGATCGTCACATTGCCAGAGCCGTTCAAACGATCGCGCTGGCATTCGCAAAATGGGAAAGTCCTTTGCGCTGCGCTGACAATCGCGAGTACGTGGCTCTCAGTGCTGCACACAGCCTTTCAGATGAGATGCGCAGCCGAGCGAGACCCTTGCCGTGATGAACGTGCACAGCCAGGATTGCATTCGATTCGCAAAGAATTTGGGCTTTGTGTGGGCTGCGGGAACGCAAAGACGCACAACCCGGACAATTGTAGCGCTGCGCCCAGCTCTACTTAGAAACTCTTCGCAGCGCGCTAGTGATGGCACGTTTGTTGTGGACAGTCATTGTTCGACACTTGGACAATGCGAAGTTTGTCCGTGCTGCACTTTTCCGTCAGGCACGGGACCAAATTGCATACACAAGCTCGGGCTTGAGCTTCTTCTGGGGTCGAGCACACCATTTGCGCTCTCGCGTCTCGATTGCCGCGGCAAAGTCGCTCAGACACTCGCGCTGCGCTCCTCGACTCGAGCCGCCGGCTACGTGGTATCCAAGGTTCAAAGTGAGGTCATTCTCGATTTCGAGGTCATTGCTCTGCGCAGCACGCTCACCCAGACAATGACCGTTCTCCCTTCCATTTCTCTCACCGATTTCTCTCAAACGACCTTCAAAAAGCGCATCTTCGAGAGATATTCCCTTTTGCATCCCACACCATCAACAACTCATCCACACGCATCATGAGGTCGTGTCTAGACGAGCTACCGTTACCTCTCTTGGAAGCCGCGGGCTGCTCCATGCCATCGTCCAGCTCGACGACGCAAAACAGATCGACGCAAGAGGGGCTGCGCGGTGGGAGCGGCAGCAAGTCTCACAGTACGGACTCGAGAGAAGAAGTGCAGCCGTTGGGCATGGGCGCTGGAGGCCACCGACGCAACAGCGCTTGCGGAGGACCCATCGCTACTCTTCGCACATCCATCCGACAGTCCAGTTTCAACGGGAATACATCTGCGATGCTTGGCGCAACGACCGCCGCAGCTGCAGGGTCTGGAGGCGTCGCGCGCAACACGTCCAGATCCGCTTCTCGGTCGAGCTCTATTTCCTACTCTCGGGCCAACAGCGGCCGTTCTTCGCCCACACGCAACGTCACGTCCAGCTGCGCAGGTCATGCTCACCTCACCTCACCGCAACTCGCTCCCTACAATGGCATCTCTGCCCAATCCCTAGCCGAGCTGGGCATCTTTCCTGCGGACTGCAATGCGTCCGCCCAATTGACTCTTCATGACCACGGCGCGGCCGCCAGCGCCGCCGAAGACGGCAGGGGCAGAGCCATCAAACGCATCAGCAGCATCGAAGAGGATCTCAAAAGTCACGCCAGGTTCGAAGCGCCCCCTCATGAAAGCAGCCGCTCCCACGACATGAGCATGCGTGCCTACGACGCCAGCACATCTCGACGTCAAAGTCAGTCCAATCGCAGTAGGGAACGAGCAGTGATGCGGATGAATAATGAGCGAGCACGACGTCAGACCCTCACAGAGTACTTTGAGGTGAGTGTGTTGCGCCGATTCGACCGCTTCGGTCTTTACGTCTCATCGCAAAGTTCTGAATACTCTACAGCAACTGGAAGAACGTCTGTTCACCGATCCCGGTCGCGCTTCGAAAGTCGCAGTGCTCGAGAAAGCCCTTGGCGTGCTGAACGCCGTTCCTGAACTTGTGCAAGAAGTCGTCCAATTGCGCGCAAGAGTCGCGGATGAAGCAAAGTGGCGGCAAGAGCTGGAAGCTTCGAGCTGCCCCCAATGTCACCAGACAAGTGCCTCGTCAACCGATCGAGCACGCGTCGTAGACGCTACAGACGTGGCCGCCGATCTCAACGTTCCCTCAGGTCAGGCGGGCAGCTCGTCCCATTGCACCAACCACTGGCCCGAATCAGGCTACCCTACTCACAATGGCAGCACCACAAACGATGCGCCATCCATCCAAGCTTCTGCTCAAGTGTACCCTGCAAGCGTAGGCGGAGCACCCAGGTCGGCAAATTTCGACTTGACCTCGGCATCGTGGTCGCCGACGAGCATGCTGTCAACCGATGGCCAAAACTTTATCGCCTCGATTGAGGATCTCTGGGCAAAGGTGGACGGCAAGGCGCAGCGTCGACGCGGCTCTGAGATCAGCGCGGCCTCCATTGACCTGCCCACGGCTCCTTCCAGCACGACTCTAGGCACGACGCCAAGCACAACTCTAGGAAGCGGCTCCTGCACCTCACCACTCTCGCCTCTGACTTGCATTACTCAAGCAAGCTCGCCCACTACCGATCGTGATGCTGTTCGGTTAGGTACGCAAGATCTCTTTGCAGGCATGGACGTCAACGAAGAGGTCAAGAGATGGATGGCACACTATTTAGCCAATCTTCACAACCCGCCTACTGCGGGTGCAGCTTCAGCTCCCACGTCCGCTGCCACGCGCGAGAAAGCAGAATTCATGGACCTGAGCTGAGCGCAGTCTTTTGCCCCCCCCCACCCTTTCTTTCGTTTGTATACTCGCCAATCTTGTATCACTTTCGTCACGCCTTTCGAGCTAATTGCATGCATGTAATCGAATCACGAAACGCAAAGAAGCTGCTCGATCTTGGAAGCCACAAGATCTCTCTTGATGAGGAACGCGTCGTGACCGTCCACGCTCTCGATGGCGCAAAGCTCCGAGTCTAGAAATCGAGCCATATCCTGTTGTTCGGAAAAGGCAAAGAGTCGGTCTGTTGGTATGCCCAACACGACGACTTTTTCCCCTTCCTTTCCGAGTGCTTGCGTGGCCTCCTCGCATCGCAGGAATCGCCTCACTGTGCAGATGTCCCGTCCATAAAAGACATCGTGCGCGTCCATCTTGTGCAGCAGGTGGACGTAGCAATTTGCATCGAATCGATCGACGAGCTTCTGTCCTTGATAGCGCAGGTACGATTGCACTGGCTGCACAGTCGCTTCAAGCAATGGATGGCTGGATGGACTGATGGAGGAGGCGCGTCGACTCGTGGGATACCAAGTGGCGGACGAGTGAACGTCATCGTTTGCGACCTCGCTCGCGACGTGGATATTGACCCCGCTGCTTCTTCCGCGTCCCTCTTCCCCTTCGCTCGCACAAGCCGACAAGGGTGGAGACGGCGGTAGAGAGATTGCGCTTCTCGCTGCTGCCGTTCTGGATGCCAACGAGGTGCTGCGACGCTGAAATTTGTGCTTGTAAGCTTCTTCCGATCTGAACGTCATCATGGCCATCTGCCTTGCGATCGATAGACCAAGATCCGGCCCAGCGGTGCTGCTGCTGGCGGTGCTGCTGGCGGTGCTGCTGGCGGTGCTGCTGGTGCTTCCTCGCCGCGCATCAGCCACGGAAGATCTTCTCGACGGACTTTGCCAGCAGTACCTTCCCTCATCGAAAGCTGGGTCCATCTGTATGGCCGCCCGTTGGATCTCATTCCAGCCCATGATCCAAGATGAAGACGTCAATGTGCTCGCGATCGGCATCAAGGTTCGCACAGGAATTCGAGGTGACGCCCCTCCTTCCGCGCAACCGGCAAGAGCCAGCTCGAGGACGAGCATGCCGCCCATGGATCCACCGAGTGCGCAAGCGATGCTCTTTACTCCGAGGTGTGCGAGCGCATGCAATTGCAGTTGGGCATCGTCTCGCGTGTTTGTGAGCGGGAAATCAGGACCGTAGCATTTGCCAGTCCTCTCGTCGATGCTGAGCGGCGAGCTGGAGCCATAAGGTGAACCTAGAATGTTGGCGCAAAACACAAAGTATTTGGTAGTGTCGATTGCAAATGCGGCGCTCGGACTCGATCGTGCTGCTTCGCCATTATGACTCCGTATCAACGGGTCCGCGCTCTCCTTTGATAGAGCCGCATCCCTGGCCTCCTCTTTGCGATGCGGGACATTGTTGGGACCGACAAGGCCTGGCCACCAATCTTGCACATCCTGGCTGCCCGTCATGGCATGACCGATGACGATGCAATTATCGCCCTGCTCGTTCAACGTACCCCAAGTGCTATACTCGAGGACTGCAGGGGAGAGGGCGTCACCAGAGGTGAGCACCAATCGAGAGAGCGTGTAGCGAGGCATAATGAAGACTGCGAGCGTGTGCGTGTGTGCGGGCGCGTATGTGCTGGGTGAGCGGGTTATGGAGGCGATCTCTGTACGACATTCAAGACCAAAAGTTGCCGTTCAAGGTTCAGCATATGAGACATCGCTCCAAGCAGAGGCCCTCGCAGTGCAGTGCAGTGCAGTGCAGTGCGAGCCCTTTGGGAGGCGATCCCGCTAGAGTGGATCATCCGTCCTGCTTTTTGCTGCGCGCGGCGTCTTGCTGCCTCCTCCGCCGCCTTTCGCATCCGTCTCCGCTCTGACGAGTAGGAGCTTTGCGTACTGCGAGACCCGCTGTGCGCTCGCTGCACAAGCCGAGATATGGTGACTACTTGTTCACTATACCCCTTCCAATCGCCTCCACTGTCCGTGATCGGCCTACGCATCGTCGCCGTCTCAGCTGCCTGCTGCTGAATCCTGGTGACTGGTCTTGATGGTGTGATGGTTCAACACGTCATGCATTCGTGATTCATTCACATTTGCCTCGAAGCCTTGGCCTCGTGATCCAATTCAGGCAGCGGCTGGCTGCATGACCTCGCATGCAGCAGCATCCCGCGCTAACGTCGAAATTCCGCGCCGCTTGAGCTCGCGCAGGCGCAGGCGCGACGCCATCTCGATCGATCGACTCTGCCATCCTCAGCAGAGATGAGCGACTCGCCGCTCACTCACGAATCCCAACCATTCGTGTATTCGCATAGCAGATCTCAGACGACAGCGAACGAGCCATTCCCTCATCGTCGTTCACTCTTTTTCTCGCTTTGTGTGCAGCGCTGCCTCCGTGGCATGCCGCACATTCGCACACAGCTGGCCAACGGTAGCAGACCCCCGACTGGATCAATGACGTACACATCTTCCCACTTCGAATGCTGGCGTGCAAGCATTGCACAATGCAAACGCTCTGGCATGCTCCACCCAATGAGGGCAATGCATACCTCCTCTCCCGAGTCAGGCGCGTGCTCATCGCCCCGCACTCGTTTGGGAGTATTTAGGTCCAGACGCACGCCCATGACGTGACAGCTCCGCGCCTTCAATCAACGTCGACGAATGATCCTCTGAAGCTCCTCGACTAAGTTGCGGTCCGCCCTCACCCACGCACACAACTTACCTGATCCCTCATGACGATCATTGGCGATTACGCCGTGTGGCCCGCTGGTCTGCCGTGGAGCGCCACCACTTTGCTCTTGGCTGCAGTAGCCGGCCTCACCTTGGTCGTGCTCGTCGCAGCTCTGGCATCCATCGTGCCACCTGCCCCGCTAGCAGGCATTCCCTCACCTCCAGGCGACTTTTTGACGGGCCACGTGTACAAGCGCACGGCGAACCCACCCAAACAATTCCTCAAATGGTCTCAAGAGCTCAAGAGCGGAGTTTTCCAGATTCGACTTGGACGCAAACGCGTGCTGGTCATCAATACGGTTCGCGAAGCTCACGAACTGCTAGCCAAGCTGGGCGACTCTTTCTCCTCCAGGCCTACCCTCTTCACCTTTCACCAACAGGTCGTCAAGGGTCAATTTGTCAAGCTGACTCTGGCCAGCGCACCTTGGGGTGAGGTCACGCAGCGCAAACGCAAAGCTGGCCTGCCCCCACTCAACAATTCGCTCGTGGAGAGCTATGTTCCCTTGCTCACAGTGATGGGCAGGGAGCTGATTCAAGGACTGCTCAGCGACTACCAAGCATCCAACGAGAGGGTGGGAGATGGTCAGAATTGGGCTGTGCTCGATTCTGCAGACACGATTAGGAGATTCACTGTGAGCGCTTCTCCGCTTTGGTGCGGCGTGCGTTGTAAGCGGGCGCTCACCATTCATTCGCACGTTCCATCTGCAGCGCATGGCGGCAATTGGCGTCAACTTTGGAATGACGCCAAAGGAAGTGGACGACTCGTGGAGGGAACTGGCTGCCACTTGGACCAACGGATATCAAGATCCCACAAAGGAGCAAATCGAAGCCGTCACGCCGGAATTGCTGCACGAAATGTCTACCTACATTGGCAGAGGTTCCGAGTGAGTGCGAAGTGTGCACTGGCACTCGTGCAATCGTCCGCCGCTGATTTTCCTTCCTGCCCCCCCACCAGCGTACGCTCTCAACACGGCATGCCTCAGGACTGGCTTCCTCCCCTCAGAATCTTTGGTCGGCCCGAAGATGGGGATGTGTGCGAGGCGGTGCTCAAACTGCGCACCATCTACATGAATCGACTCTTGAAAGCGCTAAAGCAGCGTCAAGCGGATGGAAAGGATGTTCCGTCGGTGTTGGGCAACATTGTCCTTCAAGAGAGGGTCAAGCTGAATCACGACGAGATGATCAGCCTGTGCAACAGCATGGCCGCCACAGGACTAGACCAGCATTTCCACTCGGCAATGCAATGGGCCATTGGCTTTCTTGCTGCTAATCCGCAAGCGCAGAGCAAAGCTTACGATGACCTCCTGCAGCAGCACAAGGGCGAGCGTTTCCCAGACTTTTCCCAAGCCAAGAGCGACTACTTGATGGCCACCGTCAAGGAGAGTCTGCGATTGAGCACTCCCCTGCGTCTCAGCATGCCTCGTCTTACCAACGAAGACGTCGTCTGGCGTGGCAACATCATTCCAAAGGTGGGTGTGGGAGAGGAGCGGGG